AAAAGAAAAGAATTGGAAAATTTCTAAGTTTTATTCTGAGACATCGGCCTGAAACCATCAATTTAGAATTAGACGAAAATGGTTGGGCAAATGTTGCAGAATTAAGATCAAAATCGGCCAATCGGCGGTCAATGCATTTCACGTTAGAAGAGCTCGACGAGGTGGTGGAAACGAATGATAAAAAACGGTTTATTTTCAACGAAGATAGAACAAAAATCAGAGCAAACCAAGGTCATTCGATTGATATTGATTTAGCACTAAAACCACAACAGCCACCAGAATTTCTCTATCACGGAACGGCTCAGAATAATGTCACATCCATTTTGAAAAACGGAATCGACAAAAGACGCCGACAATACGTTCATTTGAGTATTGATGAAGGAACTGCAACCAAAGTCGGAATGCGCCACGGTAAACCCACCATTCTAACTGTCAGAACGGGGAAAATGTTTGAAGACGGAGTTGTGTTTTATCGTTCAGAAAACGGAGTCTGGCTGACGAATTTTGTGGATGCAAAATATATTTCAGAGTACAATAATGAAAAGAACTTTAGTAGGTAATAGGTGATATTCACGGAAGTGTTCAAAGCATTATTGTTTGATATATATGTTTAGAATGAAGAAAATTCATTGTATTTCATTGATCTCGTATTTTACAGATCACAAGGAAATCGTTCAACTTCTCGTCATGAAACGAGTCAGTATTCACGCAAAGAACGATGATGGATATACATCTTTTGATACAGCTCTCATCATTGTTAACTTATGAGTTGCCTTATAGACTTAACTTTCAACGTTTTTGAATAGACCGCCAACGATCCTGTGAACAATGACACCATCGATGAATCAATGGCACCGGTGACAGAAACGGGTGCACAGGTACACGCAAAAAATGAACAATTTCTCAACAATTGACGATGATTAGGTGAAGAATGTTATTGGGATTTTTCCTGTTTTCAACACCATTATAAATCAATAAAAATAAAAAAATAAAAAATAAAATTAAAACAATAAAATTGACTATGACCAACAATTTTCTATACTTTCATTGTAAATATTTAATAGTTTTTTCCATCGTTTCATTTGAATATAAAAAGAATTACATTGGTAATCCCGAACTTTTCCGTGCCGTTGGCCTGCGTTGTCCGTAGGTACTTTTGTTATTTTTTTGTGAATTTTATTGAAATAAAGGCAGTGAAAATATCATAATGAAAATAAAGTGAAAATTCGGTCACTTTAACTAAAACTTCGACAATTTTGTATGAGAGGTACCCGTCAACCGATTCTTATTGGCTTCAAACTTTCTGAGGTTTCATTTTTTGGAGAAAAAATAAGATTCTGGAAGTTTAATGTTGATCGCATTTGCAGAAGTTTGGTTTTTGGCCCTCAATTTTTTCCAAGAAAATTTCGTCAAAAATTGAGGAAAAAAATCAAAATAATCTTTTTTTTTTTCTTCCAAAAAATGAAATCCCAGAAAGTTCGAAGCCAATCGGAGTCGATTTACAGGTACCTCCCATACAGAAGTGTCAATTTTTTGAGGTTTTTCTTAGGGCAAGTACCCCAGGATCAAATCGCAAATGGCTCATCTTCGAACTTAAACTAAGTTTATTGGATACAAAACTTTTGGCATTTTCAGATTTTGATTATCTCAATTATTTTTTGAGTTATCGTGTTAACAAACACCAACGACGACGACGACGACGACAGTGGTTTTCTACGCGTTAAAAAGTTCTCGGGACCAATTCCTATACTTTCCCTTGACACGTTGTGTATGGAAAAGTAATAGACATTTAGAGCAATAATGAAAGGGTTTTTTGAAGCGCCCCAAATCACATTCCTTTTCATCGAAATCGGTTGAAATCAACGACAAAGTATTTACAATACAAGCCAAAATATTTTGATTGATAACAAATGAAGGCTTTTTCCAGAAATTGGTATTTAATTTATACTCTGTTGCAGTGGCACTGACTTTGCTGGTGATTTTTTGTGAGTAGTTTTGCTATATACGATTTTGAGTCAAATTTTTTGGCTCATATTTGTGTGGTAGTGACCGGTAAATATTCTCACTGCAACTGCCATATAAACACTCTGTATTACAGACATATATGCACAGAATCTATATGATAGTGAGCTTCATCGCTGAGAGCATCTCTCCGCCTCTCTATTTCTGTGTTTGAGCAAATCGATGTATTCAAATCAAAATTGAATTTCACAACTGCTAGTGCTGCGATACTGCTCAAGCGATCAGTTGTGGAATTTCGTTTTTTAAAGAAAACTTCGTCATAAAACAACATGTTCTTATGAAATTGGTAGAAGTTGGCATTTCAAATTTCTATGCCGTAAATAATTTTGGTTCAAATGGAAACATCTAAATAAAATCTCGTCTGTTATGTGTTAAGTGAACTATCGTGGATATATTTTTGCTATTGAAATTGTGCTGAATGAATTCGTCTAAACTTATAGTGAATACTTTCAATAGAACAACGGGATTTGAAAGATTTAAAAACGGGAAGAAATGGAGAGTTCATCGCAATGTTATACAGAATAGTTTTTTGAAACTGAAATTTGATAACACACATATGCAATAGATTTTGGGTGTACTCACATCTTGATGATTCAACTGATTCGACGAATTAACTGTCGTTTTTTTATTCCTTCATTTTCCACTCATTCGATTCAGCAAGCCTGGAGCAGCTGATAGACACAGTTCTGAGTGATAAATTATAATTAATGAACGAAACAAGCGATCGAATCTGAATAAAAATGGGATTTTTCATTTGAATTAAATAAGCCGTTTTCGGCTTTGATACATTAAGTGAACGTTGTTAAAAT